CTGGGTGTGGCTGCCTATCAGGGGCATAGTGGGCTGGACGTGGCTCTGTGTGTGTGTAATGTGGTGGGCTGGGCATAGCTATCTGGGGAGGAAATGTAGTGTGCTGGACAGGTCTGTGGAGAGGGGAATATGGTAGGCTGGGCGGGGCTGCCTGGGGGTGTGGTGGGCAGAGCTGGGCTATCTGGGATGGGGGGACTGTGGAGGGCTGTCAGGGGGCAGTGTTCGAGACCGCCCCCACCCCGGCAGGTGTGCTGCTTCCCCAGGGTTCCCTCACCTCACAGACCAGCATTCACTCAGTGTGCACACTCTGCTCTGTGCTCCCAAGCCTCTACCACGCAGCCGGCCACCATCCGAGACACCGATTCCTGCCTTCGTGGCGTGGCTCGGAGGAGTGCTTGCCATGTGCCTCAGCACCTGTGTCTGTGTGTGCACGTGTGTGTGATGTGTGAGACACAAATCACCCCGAGAGCCCGTGACTGCAGAGAACCCGAGTCCTAGCTCTGCTGCTGACCAGCCACGTCACTGAACAGACACTGCCCCTCCGCTCCAGTTTCTTTACCTATAAATGGACTAAGGAGCCCTGGGGACACGGCCGTAGAGAACTGTGCTGTCATGCCAAGGGCAGCGCTTTTCTGGAAGTTCAAATCCACCACTGGCAATAGACCAGATAGTCTCTTCCTGTGTGATTTACAGCCTCCAGACCCCCACTGGGCGGCCAGCTCAGCCGTGAGTCAGTTCCGATGGCGGCATGACTTGCGTGCTCGGGGCTGTGGTGCGGGTTCAGCGTGGAGAGCAGCAGTGCAAGGCAGACCCGCGGTGCTGCGTGGCACTGCCGAGCAGTGTCTGCCACCATTTGCTGTCATAGTTATAGGAAGTGGCTCCATGTGGGCGTCAGGCAGCCGTGTCACCAGCCTCTGTCCAGCTTCCTCACGCCTGTCCCCATGAAGGGAGTCAGGGCTGCCCCATCCCTCTGGTCAGTTCCCCCATCCATCTTGGCAGTGACCCCCACAAAGCAGGACCCCGGGCAGCCGAGGCACAGCCTGCCACTTGTGTTTGGAGACAGACGTGTGAGATGGTCTGGGTCTGAGCTCGCTGACTTCTCCTGGTCTCCCTATTCGGGCAGCCTGGCCTCTACTCAAAATACCTGCTATTTGCTTGCCAGGAAACTGAGGCGAAATGGCCTCCAGAACCCTGACTGCAGGTGGGGTCGGGGCCACCTATTCCCTGGGCCCCTTGTCCCCCGACTCCTCTTGTCGGAGTCTCCTCTCCCCAGGGCTGGGAGGGTCGTGGTCTGCAGGTCCAGCAGCCTGTCTCCTGACCTGTTGACAAACTCCTTCCCTCACAGAGGCTCCTCAGGGGAGAGCATCCCAGGCCAAGATTCGCGTGCTGGGTCCACAGCCCAGTGGACAGGCCAGCAGATTCAGTGTGTGTGTAGGATTGGAGCCGAGTTCACCATTGTCCAATTCCTGAACATTCACTTCACCCCACACAGAGACCCTCTACCCATTAGCAGTCATTACTCCTCATCCCCTCTCCCCGCCTGGGCAGCAGGATCCGCTTTCTTTCTACCTCTGGATTCGGATCTTACAAGACAGTCTTAGGCCTGCGTCTTTTCACTTGGCGGTGTGTGCTTAAGGGTGGCTCGCGTTGTTGGGCATATCACAGCTTCATTCCGTTTTATGGACTAGTAGTATTTCATGGGCGCGCTGTAGCCTCCTGCTAAGGAGCTGTGCTGCCAGCCCTAAAATACATGGTTCAAATCTCCCAGCTGCTCCACAGGAGAAGGATGTCCAGTCTCCTCCCATGCAATTTACTGCCTCAGAAAACCCGCTGTAGGTCAGTCGTGAGTCGGTTCTGCCTGTATGGGACACAACAGCAAGTACTCATGGGAGCTCTACTGGTAGGTAGGGAATTGTGCTGCCAACCCAAAGGCCTGTGGTTCGAATCCACCAGCTGCTCTGTAGGAGAAAGCTGTGGAATCTCTCGTGCCACTTACGGTCTTTGAAAGCCCTCAGAGGGTCAGCTCTGAGATGGCTCCGGCTTGAGAGCATACAACACTGTCATCTCTTGGCTGACATTCGGGCTGCTTCCACTTTTCGGCTGTAGTGAATGGTGCTGTGAATATGCCTGGATTTAGTTTGTGCCAGTTTTCATAGCTTTGGTTTATGTTGCTAGGAGTGGAATTGCTGTGTCCCATGATGCTGAGAAGGGTGGAGGGTCGGTAAAGGAGAGGAAGACCCTCAACCAGGTAGATTGATGTGGTGACTGCTGCAGTGGGCTCTTGCGTGTGAGGAAGTGTGAGGATGGTGCAGGATGGCACAGGACAGGACAGGGTTCAGATCTTGTGTTCACAGGGTTGCTGTGAGTTGTACTCGATTCACTTAACACCAGCCATCTTGGATTTGGATTTCTAAGGAGCTGCCTAGCTTTTCCACAGTGTCTGAGCCACTGTACAGGCCCATCCATCAGCAGGTTTTGGTTTTCGACATCCAGCCCTCATTAGGTGCCATTGAGTCGAGTATGGCTTACCTTGGCCTGCCCTGTGCCGTCCTCATCTTTCTGAATGATACTCTCATCACACTTGAACCCCAGTTGTTAGTGTTGGTATTTTAAGGAACAGCCATCCCCATGGTGTGAGGTGCTTTGTCTTGTGGTTTCAGCTTAATTGATGTTGAGTGAGTTCCCTCTGCCTTCTTGGCCATTTATTGTTTTTTTAGCAAGATAGCAATCTCTTCCCATAAAAGCTTTACAGCCTTGGGGAGGATGGAGGGTCATATGAGTCAGGCCCAACTTGACATCTGCCCTCGACAGGCATGCCCTTTATCATACATATTTACAAAACGCCCTCTTTTTCCTTTTTCACCTGGGAATTGCATATTGTCTGGACTTTCCTTCGCCCCCTCATAGTGTTCGTTGTAGCAGGAAGACATTTCACTCTGATGAAGCTCAGTTTCTCTGTTTCTTTTCTCGCTGTGCTTCTGGGGCCGTAAGTAGGAGAAAAGGGTGAGTTGTGAGGCTTTATGCCTGTGTTTCCCTCAGAGGTTTTTGTGTCGGCACTTAAGTACAGGCCTTCCATTCATACTTTTGTGTGTGGTGTGAGGTAGGCATCCCCGGTGGATGGACCTGGAAAGACAGAGCTAGCCGTCTGCTTCTGTGGGTCACAGCCTTAGGAAACCCAGGGGCACTTCTCAGTACACGAGGGGCTGCCTGCAGTCAGATCGACCCCGGAGAGCCGGGTGTATACAGGGCTGAGGTCCATGGTCTCAGCACTCTCTGTTGGAAAGCCTCTTCCTTACCCTTGGAGAAGTGTTGGCGCCCTTGCCCAAAGTCGCTTGGCTGCATGTATAACCCTGGTGGCTGGGGGTCAGGGAGCTGGTTTCTGGCTTACAGTGACCCTAAGAGGACAGTGGACAGCGCCCTTTCCAGGAGCAGATGGCCATGCCTCTCCCTTGGAGCCGCTGGTGGCTTCCAGCTGCCAGCCTGTCTGTGGCAAGCACTTACCCTCCTTAAGTGCCCCTTAAGCCTTCCCACTGCGTGTACTCAGAGCTCAGATGCCTCCGTTTTGTGCTGAAGACTGCTCACCCCTCCACGCTTCTGTTCCGGGGTTTGCCGGTCGTCAGCCGTGAACCAGGAGTAGGTTGATGTTTTTGTGGGACTGAGGCTTATAGATTGGATGGGGGTAGAGGACTTTAAGAGAACAGTAGGGTGGTATCCTGCTTTGTCAGATGTTGAGTGTTACGGGCACCTAACCTGTGCACCCTCACTGGGCCCCTCTGCAGCCCCAGAAGGAGCTGCCACCCCACCTCCTCCCTGGACACCGGAGCCTTTATGGACACTTCACCCTCTTTCTGTTGCCTTCTCCGTCCCTTCCTCACAAAGTTGCCACATTGGGGTTCACCGAGGGGTTTATCAGCATGCAGAGAAGGGTGCCAGCAAACCCACTCTTGGGATACTCCTGCCCACCCCTCAGGACCCCGGCCTGGTGTGACCACACAGGAGTCCCTTCAAGGGTGGAGTCGGGTCACATAGGGCTGTCCGTACCTGTGCACCTCCAAGCCTTGGTTTCTCCATTGTCATGGGCTCCTCGGAGGTGGAAGCGGGACACCAGTGCTCTGCTCAGGGAGGGGTGGCAACACATCAATCCAGGCATGGTCAGAGGTGGTGACTGTGGGACCCTCTCCTTGACCGTGGAGCCCCCCTCACCTGTTGTTGGGCATCATCGAGCCTATTTCTGCCAGCAGTTACCCCATGTGTGGAGCAGACAGGCCTCATGTCTCTTGGGGTGTCTTGGCACCAGGTCTGCCCTCCCACAGAGCCTCAGGGTAGCTTGGAACCACTAACCTTTGGTGTTTGCAGCTGAGCACTTAACCAGCAGGACTCCAGTCCTATGCAGAGAGCAGGTTGACTGGGTTTTTGACGAAGTATTAGCAGAGGGGCACACAGGGGAAGCGGGGAGGGTCTAGGGGGAGGACAGATGGAGGCTGTGTTCGTGCAGGGCGGGGCGGCTGCCACAGCTGCCTCCATCCCTGTGGCCCCCACCCCCTGACTTCCTGTCCCTTTTGTTGAAGGAGGAGCCAAGGAAGGTGTGCTTCACCTATGACCTGTTCCTGAACCTGGAGGGCAACCCGCCAGTGAACCACCTCCGCTGCGAGAAGCTGACCTTCAACAACCCCACCTATGAGTTCCGGTGCAAGCTGCTGAGGGCAGGCGGGGTGAGTGTGTCCCCTGGGTGTGCTGCACCCCCCTCTGATGGACAGACAGCAGCCTCTGTGTGGCCATTATCCATTCCAGTACCTGGGTCATGGCCATGGGTGCAGAAGGCCCCATGGGACCAGTCTCTAGCAGGTGACTGGGTGCCTGAGACCCAGAGGGACAGTTGGTGCTGGGAAAGCTGGAGGACCCGGATGTCCCAGGCTCTGCTGGGTGACATTGTCTCCCTGCTGGTGCTGGGGGATCTGGAGGACCCGGGTGTCCCAGGCTGTGCTGGGTGACAATCGGCGTCTCTGGTGGTTCTGGGGGAGCTAGAGGATTTGGCTGTCCCAGGCCCTGGTACATGGCATCAGCGTCCCTGGTGGTGCTGAAGGGAACTGAAGGGACCTGACTGGCCCAGCCTATGCTGGGTGGCATTGGCATCCGTGGGAAAGCTGGAGGGACCCAAGTGTCCCAAGCTGTGCTGGGTAGCATCAGTGTGGATGACTGGTCAGCTGTTGGTGCTGCTGTTTCCTGCTTGGCTGTGATTAATTGGCATCTTTTTCCTTGGAGGAGTTGGGGAGGAACGGATGAGAGGCCAGTCTGTCCGCGTGGCTGGGCACTGGCTCTGGCTTTGAACCGGCCTGGCAGGGCTGCTGCTGGGTGCTGTCATCTTGGGGCATCAGTAGCTTCTGAGCAGACAAGGCGGTACTGCCCGGGGTCCGTCCGTGAGACTGGGTCTCATGCCCCTGTCAGCCTCGGCATCTCGTGAGTTGTGCGGGGGGTGGCCCTGGGTGGCTGCTGTCCTGTCTCCTGAGTGGAGTCTCCCAGCCTCCTCAGGCCGAGCCTGGGGTTCTGCTGGGCCTCCGCCGGGGTTTCCTTGGGACTTTTGGGGAATGTGGGTGGAAGGGAGGGGTGGCTGTGCGCCTGCTGGGTGTGGAGGAGGTGGGGCGCTTGGCTGTGGGCCTGAAGTGTTTATGGGTACAGTCTGAATGTTGGTCACGGGATGTCCCAAATCTTCTTGGAGTGGCCATATCACCAGGCCTTGGCTGAGATTGTGGCAGTGTTTATGGTGGTAGAGCAGGGCTGGGACCGTGGCTATGCACACGAGTGTGTCATTCTGTGTGTGAGCATGTGCTCGTGTGAGTATGTGTGTGTGATCACCTGTGAGAGTGCGTGTGTGTGATAGTGTGTTGTTACTTCTGAGAATACGAATATATGATTTATGTATGGGATGTAGTTTGTGTGTGTTTGGTGTGTGATGATTGTGTGAAGTTCTGCACATGAGCGGCAGTGTGGCTGTGTATATGAGTGTGTTATTATATGTGAGAATGTGTATCATGTAACATGATTGTGTGGTTACACACATGTGACTCTGACGATATGTGTGTGTCGTGTATGAGTGTCTGCATGGGGTGGACGTGGGGGGGAGGTGAGGAATGTAGTCTGTGTGTGTGGACTGAGCGTATGTGTATAGTCACCCTGCTTCCCAGGTGACTCTGGGGAGTTCGGTTGGGTCTTCTATGTGAGTGTGGTGTGATTTGTGCGTGTGCATGAGTGTGTGCACACACGTGTGTATATGTGGTGTAGTTGTGTGTATGTAAGTGAATGTAAAGATGTGTATGTGGTGCAGTTGTGAGTGTGTGCCCGTGTGTGTATGTGGTGTCGTTTTGGGTACCTGTGAGTGTGTGTGATTTTGTAGTATGTTGTGGTGGTGGTAGTGGACTGCAGAGTTGGAACCGACCCATAGCGACCCTCTGGTGGGTTTTCAGAGGCAGTTAATCGCACAGGAGGAGTTTGTCCACCCTTCTGCAGGGCAGCTGGTGGCCTCCGAACGCGTGCCATTGGGATTGCAGGGCAGCTCCTTGCCACTAGAGCTTGCTAGTTGTGTATCTGTGAGTGTATTTACACGGTGCAGTGTTTTGTGCATATGTGAGTGTGTGCAGGTTATGTATGAGTTGTTCTGTGTGTGTGGAGGGAATCATGTTGATGTGTGTATGTAGTATGGTTGTGTGTGTGTTGTGTTTGTGTGCGAGTGAGTGTGGGGGTGGGAGTGTGTGTGGTACAGTTAGATCTGTGGTGGTATGGTTTTATGCATGGTGAATGGGGTATACATGGCATCGTTTTTGTATGTGTGGGAGTTTGTATATGTCGTGTAGTTATATGCATACATGTACCCAGGTGAATGCAAGTGTGTTGTATATGTGGTGTGTGTATGTGAGATAGCTATGTGAATATGTGTGTACGTGGTGTAGTTGTGTGTTCGTGTGTGTAATACGCAGTAGATCTGTGTATGGGGTATTCGGTTGTTGTGTGCTGCAGTCGGAATAGACCCATAGCTGACCCTCCAGCGTGTTTTCAGAGGCCGTCAGCACACGGGAGGAGGTTGTCCATCTTCCTCCCGTGGAGAACCACGTGCCTTTGGGGTAGCAGCACGATTCCTTCTCACCAGGCCGGCATACTTATGTGTACGTGTGAGTGTATACACGTCTTACGCGGGTGGGTGTGGTGGAGTTGTGTCTGTGGTGGTTTGTGTGACTGAGTGTCTGTGGTAGAGTTGTGTGCGTGTGTATATCTGATGTAGTTGTATACACGTGTGTAGGCTAATGTGTGTATATGTGTATATATGACGTAATTTTGTGTGCATATTTGGAAGCAGGAGTGGCATCCACTTCCTAAACAACATGCCTCTGGAAACTCTAGGAACTTTGATAAATACTGATAGTTGCAAAGCGGCTTCAGGACTTTTGTTCATAGGGTTGTTAAGATCTGTGCTCAACTTGAAGGCAATCAACAGCAACAACAGCATGGTTGATTTGCGTGTGTGAGAGAGTGTGTAGGGATGTGTGTCTGTATAGGTGATGTCGTATGGGTGAGTCTGCACGTGTGTATAAGGGGTAGTTGTGTATGTGGTGTAGTTGTGCTTTTGTGTGTGGTTGTATGTATGGTGTTGTGTGTGTACGTGAAGTGTGATAGAGTTGTCTGTAAGTGAGCGCATATGTGTGTTTGTGAGTGTAGGCTGTCGGGTTTTTAGTCTGAATATGTGGTATAACTGAGTGTGTATGTTGTGTCGTTGTGCATGTGTAGTGTTGTGTGTTAGTGATATAGTTGTGTGTATGTGTGGTTGGTGTCGTTGTGTGTGGGTTGTAGTATGTCTGAGTGAGCATATACGTGTGTATGGTGTAGCTCTGATAGCCTGGTGTAAGGAACTGTGCTGTAATCCCCAAGGCACGTGGTTCAGATCTGCCGGAGGAGGGTGGGCAGTCTCCTCTCATGCGATTACACTGCCGCTGAAAACTCCACGTCAGCTCTGGGTCGGTTCTGCCTCATAGCCAGACACCGTGTGGCTGTGTGTGAGTCTGTGTATATGCACTGCAATTGTGTGTGCGTGTATGTGTATTTGGAACAGTGGACTTGGATTTCATGGGTTCAGGGAACAGTCCCTCTCTCGCTGCTTCATTTGTGGTCTTTGATAAGCTTTTTAAAGACCCAAGTACTGGTTTGCACATTGTAGGGATTTGGTTCTGTTCCGCCAGGGATTCCAGTGGAGAAGACGCAGGTGTGGTGTGGCAGCTGACGGAGTGGGGTGTCAGAGGGTACAGGTCACTGAGTGGGTGAGGGGCAGGGGCGGTGCTCAGAGCCCCCTCAGCACTGCTCTGCTGCCTTCAGTGATTTCTCAAAGTGACTCTGGGGACCCTCAAAGGTTCCATGTTTGAGAAACACTCGGGTGGTCAGGGACCCCAAGGACTGAGTTCAGGCAGCAGGGAAGCTCCAGTACTGGCTGGGCTGGGCTGCTGCGTGGTCCTCTGAGCTGACAGCCAGGCAGCCTGAGGGGCAGGGTACTTCCCCGGGGTCTTGGGGAGGAGAGGCTGTGGTGTCTGCACTGATGATTCTGGGTTCTCGTACCCCTGGTGTGGCCAGCAGTGGCTTCTGAGGGCAGCCCTGGAGGACAAGGACCTGACATTGGATGAGGCCTGCTCTCTGCGCTCCCCTGAATGTGGGTCCCTCTGAGTTCTGTGACCCCTCTCCTGAGGCTGCTAGAAGGACCAGAGCGTGAGTTTCTGACTTTTCTAGAAGGTGCCAGGGGATGCATTACCCAGAGACAGGATTGTCCCTAGGCCTTTGCTCGGCCAGCACTTGTGAGGCGCAGATGGTGGCTGCTTGGGTGGGTGAGCTTCCTGCTTCGTGCCAGGACTGTCCCTCTGCAGCACCTGCTCAAGATAGACAGGCACCATGTCTGGAATTCTCTCGGAAGGGTCTTTGTCACAAAGAAGAGAGGATTGCACAGCTGTGGTTGTGGGTCTAGGACCTTAGTATGACGGGAGAAAACAGGAGGGACGAGCCGATGCCTTGACTGTCTGCTGGCCGAACTGGGCTTCCCAGCTCATCCTCTGAGCCAAACACCCGCTCAGAGTGGAGTCCCAGGACATGGGCTCGGTGCCGGGCCAGGGTCTGGTCTGTTCGGCCTTCAGGTCATGGGGCCAGAGGCTTCAGCCGTGTCCCCGGCTCGCCTTACCAGCCATCCCCACCAGACCTGTTTGTACTGCGGCTTCTTAGATGAAGGACATGGCTCGTCAACACTGTGCTTGGCTTCCGCGTGGAGCCTGCCCGCCCGCCTAGCCACCAGGAGTGTGCTTTGACCTTCTCTTCTATGCCAGTGGTATGGACCACTGGCTGCTGACTCACAGGTTAAAGGTTTGACTCCACCCAGAGACACCTTGGGGGGGAAACAAATCCTGGTGATCTTCCAGAAGCTAAGCTGCAGAAGATTGTGCGGGATTGGAGTTGAAATGATGGCAATGGGTTTTAGTGCTGCTGCTCGGAGAGCTGGGCTGTGCTCTGTCTTGTCCCGGCCAGCTTGCTGAGTCCAGTCTCCAGCAGACAGCTCCTGGAAGGCGGCCTCCTCCCAGAAGCCCTCCTCCGTCTGCCACCCCCTCTGTCCTCTGTCCTTGCTCCTGCTCTCCACCTGCTTCATGCTGGCGAGGCGTGGCTGGCTGGCTGTTGTGCCCACTCAGCTCTGAGTGGCCACAGCACTGAGTGATGCTATGGCAGCAGGTCTTGCGGTGCTGGGTCCGCCACCCTCGTGGTGCTGGCCGTGTGCCTGCCCTCTGCTTCACTTCTCGTCTTCTGAATGCACAGCTGCGGGCAGGCTCTGGCCCCAGGACCGTCGGAAGCTCTCAGCTCTCTCCCAGCACATCGTCTGGGCCTGGTCTGCTTCCACTGGCCGCGAGGCCTGCCTCTCCCCGCTGTCTGGGACCTGGCTTCTCTTTGCCTCGCCCGCCACGCAGCACCCCCAGGTGCACATCTTGCCCATCCTGACAGAAGGTGCCTTTCATTCTTCTAGTAAATGACGCTCAAGCCGGCTCTCCCCTCCGTCCGCCCCTGCGAAGCTCCTAAATCCTCGTCCATGCCTCCGAGCCAGCTTCCTCCTCCTGAGGGTCCCCAGCCCGCCTGCCTCTGATAACACCTGTCTCTGCTTTATCACTAGGTGATGGTAATGCCTGAAGGAGAAACGGTGTCCAGGCCCAGCCCCGACTACCCCATGTTACCCACAATTCCACTCTCTGCCTTCTCTGACCCCAAGAAGACCAAACCATCCCACAGCACCAAGGTTAGTGAGGTGGAAGCCCAGTGCACGCAGCCCACCTCGGCGGGGCCTCGGAGGGGCCTGGAGCACCCTCCCTCGCATCTCTCTTGAGCTCTGCCTCGCTGCTGCTCGCTGTCCACTCTCCACCCCTTCCTCAGGAGAGCCAGCCCCTCCGGGTTTCGGACACAAGCTCCCCACTTCGCTCTTCTTGAGGCAGAGTCACCACCTTGTACCGCTGAGCCAGGCAGGGTCTTAGCAGCCCCCCGACCAGGAGGCCCCCTGGGCTGAAGCTGCCGTCGCCTTGGCCCTGATGTGGGCCCAGTGGGCCCCGTCTCCAGCCTGCCTGCTTCACCCCCGCTCTTCTGGGCTTTGCTTCTTTGGCAGCACCTTGTGCAGAGAGAGCTGGCCTGGCGCATGGCTGGGCAGCAGAGAAGAGGCCACCTAGAGTCCCGTGAAGGAAGGACAGGGTGCCAGCTGGTCTCGCCCAGCATTCTCCTGGCCGATCTGCCTCCTAGCCCATGGGCAGCCAGTGTTGGAAGGGTCCTCATTCCTGCTTGCTGCCCCTTCTCTCTTAGCCGCCCAGGTTTTCTGGGAATTCCGCGCAGATAAAGGGACCAAGGGGAACCACTCCCTCCAAGCAGCCAAATGCTTTCTGTCTGTGCGCCCCTCTTCTGTGCACCCCCAGTGCCTGAGCACCATCCACTGTTGGGCCACTGCTTGTCTTCTTGTCAGCAGCCCTTCGTGCCCTTGGCTCATCTCACCTGCTTGTTAGGTGTGGGCCCCTGGGGCAGCCCAAGGGCAGGAGGTCGGCCACCCCAAGCCTTCTTACCAGCTCCATCGATGAGGGTCACATCGGCCTGGATGTGGTCTTTCCGGCTCTCCCCTTATGCCAGCAGGCCTCTGAGTCCTTTGATGGGCCTAATCTGCCATCCACATGGGTATGCCAAGAGATGCTCCGGGGGTCTCCCCTGATGGCCCCTGGCGTGTCTTCCTCCAAGCCCAGCTTAGCCCACCAGCTTCCCCTGGCCTGTTTGCAGCAGCCGGTGGAGGAAGCTTCTCATTCCTGCTCTGTGTCACTTCTCTCTTAGCCCCCCAGGTTTTCTGGGAATTCTGCGCAGATTTGGGGCCTCAGTGGAATCTCTTGTTTTTTCTGTATGTGTCACTTAACTGTCACTGAGCCCCAGCGAGGACCTGCTTGCTCTCTGGTGGTGAAAACCCGACAGTGGCAGAGTCGTGACATCTCGGGGAGCACTTCCAGCTTCTGCTCCACATTCTTGGACACCTGGAGAGCCCCAGCTAGTTTGCTCGCTGCCAGCCTTGAGGACGTGAGCCAAGCCTCCTGTTCCCATCCTTCTGGGGTTCTCGAAGCAACCTCAGCCCCCTGACGGACTGACTCAGGAGGTGGCAGCAGAGGTTTCTGGGCAGTATCAAGTCGCCTTGTCCTCAGCTTCACCGTCTACTGGGAGGGGACAAGTCTGTGCCTCGCCGCCTCCAAGCACTGCTGTCCCCTGAGAGCAGGTCTTGCTTGCTGACGCATTAGGCAGAGGGACCTCATCAGGCTCTGGGTGGGAAGAAAGGCTAGGTGCACCTGCCTGCCTCGTCCCTGGAGGCCCTGGGCCACAGGCGCACGATGTGGCCGCTGAGTGGTGACAGCAGCTTGCCTGGCTTGTTTCATGCTGAGGACTCAGGGCTCCGTGGCGCCTTCCTATCCAGTCTCACTCCAGTTGCTGCCGCTCAGAAGCTTGGCTCTTCAGCTCCTTGTCATTCTGGGGTCATGGGTGGCTCTGAGGACCTCAGGGAAGCCTGTGTTTTGCTCTTCAGCATATGACTTGGGAGCCCTCAAGCTGTGCAAGGCCCCAGTTCAGAGCCGTGTGGGCTGGGGATGCCCTGGCAGCTCAAAGGAGCACCTACCTGGACCGGGGCTGAGGAGCGAGCGAGCATCAGGCTTGGGTGAAGGCCACCAGCCTGCCCACAGCCCAGCACTGCATGCTCGGCCCCGGCCCGGCCCCAGTCCCGGCAGCAGCGTGTGGCATGTGGCACTCAAATCCAGGCTGAGACCTCTGTGCACTCCCCGACCAGTGCTGGGTGCCCCTTGTCTACCTGCCTGTCATCACTCCTGCACTGTGTTCCGTTTCTCGTCAGGATGCCCCCCCTCTTGCTTCTCTTCCTGTTGTGTGTGGGGACCTGGAACAGCCCTGAAGGTGTGAATTCAGTGTGGGTGTCAGGGTGAATGTGGACAGGCCCCAGTGGAGGATGGCGAGCCTGGCTGTGTAGCGTCAGCCAGGAGCTCCGTCGGCCTGCAGCTCTTCCACGAGGACCCTGTCGCCTCGCCCTTAGGCTGTGGGAGCAGAGTGCACAGTGTCCTGCCCTGGACCCTGGTGGCTACCACCCTTCGCCTCACACACTTCGAAGGGCCTGGCTTCTCACAAGGCTTGGGAAGCACTGTTGGGGAGCCCAGGGCCTAGATGTGCATCCCTCAGTCTCTGCACCCCCTCATCCAGGAAGTAAGCTTATGACAGCCGGCACCAGGGATTCCTGTGTTCACCTGGACGTGTTTGGCTGGGGTGTCTTGAAGGAAGAGGCCTCTGAGAGGTCGGGGTGCTCCCTCTGGGGAGGATCCAGCTGTGGTCAAGTGCTCACAGTGAATTAGCAGTGGTCAGGCCAGGGCCCCAGAACTGCAGACAAGCAAAGAAAAGCAGGGCCAGAACTTGGGGTGCCGCATGTAAGGCTCACCGCCGTGCATTTCTGGCCACCTTCCGCCCTCACAGCTCTGCAAGCTGTCCAGCACATTGGCATGCGGTTCCCTGTTTTGTAGGCCCTTCCTGACCTCAAGGCTTTTCTGTCCCATACCCTTTGTGCCCCTGCCCTGTATGGCAGGCCCAGACTCCCCATCCACCCACCTGCACACTGGATACCTCCTTTCTCTGAAGAGTCAGTAGATGTTAGGGATTATTTTATCCTTGGCTCTATAGTCCACACTCTTGGCACCAGCAGCCAGGAAATTAAAAGACGTATTGCATTGGGAAAGTCTGCTGTCAGAAACCTCCATAGTACTGAAGAGCAGAGATGTCAGTCTAGAGATTAAGGTGCAACCGCTACAGGCCATGGTCTTTGCAGTCACTTACGATGCATCAGAGAGCTGGACAATAATGACTAGAAATGACAGAAGGAGAATCAGTGCCTTTGAGCTGTGGTGCTGGAGAAGAGTATTGAATATGCCATGGACTGCTAGAACAGACAGGTTCATCCTGGAGAGGCTGAGAAGAGGCTGCTTGGTGGAGGCAAGGATTCTGAAGCTTCGTCTGACATACTCTGGACAGGTTGCAAGGAGGCATCAGTCCTTGGAGAGGGACGTCATGCTTGGGAGGGTGGAGGGACAGCGCAGGAGAGGAAGACCCTGCATGAGATGGATTGGCTCAGTGACTGTGGTAATGGAGGTGGACGTGTCAGAGACAGTGAGATTAGCACAGGATAGAGCATGGTTTAGGGACGTTGTGCATAGGTCTGCTATGAGTCACAGGTGACTTGATGGTACATAACAACAATAACAACAGTGTAATCTTCAGAGGCGGGAGAGAACCCAGGGCGATGGCGAGGGGCCGTTGGGAGCCCAGGCTGATTTTAAAAAAACGCTACTCTTCCATTAGCAGCTCACTGGGCTCCAGGCGGAGTTCTGATTGTTGTGTGGTCTGTCCCAGTGCAGGGCGGCACTGGGGGTTTAAGGTGGTGTCACGTTTGTGTGGGCACCACTTCAGTGTTGCCGCAGGTCCTGTTTAACACAGCTGGACCTCTAACGCCAGCACGGTGCCATTGCCCACCAATGGGGTATCTGCCTACCTAGTGTGGGTGCCTGCCTGCCTAATGGGAGATGCCCACCTGTCTACTGGGTGCCACCACCTGCCTGCTGGGGTGCCCGCTGCCTGTTTGCCAGAAACACATCTACCTCCAGCACACTCGCCACCGGACAGAGTCACTGGAGGATAGGGGCGCAGACCCGGAGCTCAGCACTGAGTGGTTACTCCATAGTACTGACTCACAGAGCGCATGACGCCCTGGGGAAAGGGCAGGGGGAGCAGAGAAGAGGGCCTAGCGGGGCTTCTGGAGGGCGCAGACACATCGCAGGACAGAGAGGGTACCAGATAGGAAACGGGTGGACCAGGGGCCAGCCCCAGAAGGACCTGTGGGACACTGGGAAGTGCTGTCCCAGTGAGGATCAGTGCAGCTCCCCCCTGCGCCACACCTTGGGGAATGTGAGTTCTGTTCAGGGGACGCCCAGCCCACAGTGGCCCAGTGCCTGTGGAAGACCCCCCCAGGGGCTGCTTTACTCAGAGTTTCTCTGGCTGAGGCTGGCTGGGGACTCTTGCTTAGTGCGGGTGGGGCTAGGCAGAGGGCGGCCCCCAGGCCGTCTGACCTGTGCGCCTGCCCTTGACCTTGCAGGATGCCAACAAGGAGAGCAGCAAGACCTCCAAACCGCACAAGGTGACCAAGGAGCACCGAGAGCGCCCTCGAAAGGACTCAGAGAGCAAGGGCGCCTCCAAGGAGCCAGAGCGCGAGCCTCCCAAGGCCTCCAAGGACGCCTCTCGCAAGCTGGGCGAGGGTCGGCCGCCCAAGGAGGAGAAGGCGCCGCCGCCCAAGGCCGCCTTCAAGGAGCCCAAGATGGCCCTGAAGGAGACCAAGCTGGAGAGCCTGTCTCCCAAGGGGGGGCCCCCAGCCGCACCCCCGTCCAAGTCTTCCAGCAAGCGGCCTGCCCCCGCTGACTCGCCCAAGCCCAGTGCCAAAAAGCAGAAGAAGAGCAGCTCCAAGGGGTCCCGGAGCGCCCCGGGCACATCCCCGCGCACCTCGTCTTCCTCCCTCTCGGACAAAAAGCCAGCCAAGGACAAGAGCAGCACCAAGGGGGAGAAGCTCAAGACCGAGAGTGAGCCCAAGGAGCCCAAGAAGGCGCTGGAGGTGGAGGAGTCCAACTCGGAGGACGAGGCCTCCTTCAAGTCAGAGGTGAGCGCTGCCCCCGTCCTCTCTGTCCTTCCAGCCCTCTATGTCCTCCTTGTCATCCTCCCAGTCCTCTTCATCCTCTCCGTCCTGCTGCATAGCCGCTCCCTGCACTCCCTGCGCTCCGCCTCCCTCTGGTCCACTCCCACCACCTCCCCACCCCTAACCCCGCCTCCCTGCCTTCCCACCCACCTCTAACCCCGCCTCCCCGCCTTCCCACCCACCTCTAACCGAGCTCTAGCCCCGCCTCCCAGCCCTCCCACTCACCTCTAACCCTGCCTCCCTACCTTCATTTCCCACTTCTCTCTCCTCCCCTCTCATGCATAACCTCTTCTCCCTAGACATGACCCCTCCTCTCCATTATCCCACCAGAGATCTCACCCCTTGTCTGCCTCCTTTCCACAGAGATACTG